GCATGTATGTGTGAGTTGGGATCTGGACTTCGCTACCAGCACATGTATGTTCCTCGCCAGCACCCAACTGAATGTCAACGGTTCAATTTTTGGATTGCACCCTTAGTGTACCCTAACGTTGAAAAACGTTTTTCCCTGACTACAGCCCCCATGGAAAAGTGGCTACCAGTACAGTTAATCAATTGGGATGAGCAGCCAGCTCCATTCCATGTCATCTTTAGGCACCTGTTATCTGCACACAGCACATCAACACACAGCACATCAGCACACAGCTCCAATCACTAATAAAGAAAAATCAGCATTCACTATCTCTCTATTTCTTTACACTCTCCTTCCTCTCTTTTTTTTTTTTTTTTTTTTTTTTTTCCTGAAAACCTTCATGTCTCTTCTATCCCGTGGTGATTAGGATTCCCAAAAAATTGTAGTGACGAAGTCGAACAATCTCCATGACATGTTGCAAAGCATATATAGATGGTGCAGCATGTGCTAGTCCTTTTCACAGCTCAAGAGATTACAAATGCAACGACCTGCAAAAATTGCAGTGTGACATTTCTTCAATTTTCAGAAAAATTGCTGTCTTTTGATGCGATTGCCTAGGCCCGGGTCACACCATTTTCCCGGGCGGCCCGGCCGTGCAAGGACTAGGGAAGGTCCCAGCCAAAAAAAAAAATCCAAAAAATCCGAAAAAAAAAACAATGTTATGCAGAAAAATAAACTGAACAACTTTTGCCTCAGGGTCACATCGAAATTCTTTACCAAATTTCAAATAAAAATTTTAATTAAAAAATATTATTTATTTATTTATTATTATTTTATTTCTTTTTCGCCCGGCCGGGCAAGTGGACCCGGGCCACTCTGGTAGCCTAGGCGATTGCTGAGAATTCCGAGTCTGAGTTCTGACGTGTTTTGCTGTGCCATGTCAGACTAGTAATCTCTGACCTTATTTTCCAAGTGCGTAAAATGACCGACCACTAACGTACATGCGTTGTGCGCTTCCCTGATTCGAAGCCTGAGTCTGTCTGGTAATCCTGTTGGCGTGTGCTGTGGCTGTGTCATGCACAGGGACAACATAGGAAGAAGGGTATGGCCACGGGCAGGACGGGAAGTTCGCGGTAGGGAGGACATAATGGCGGTAGTGCAGCAGACCGGGGCATAAGCAGAATTTATTTATTTTTTTGTTGAGGGGAGGGGGGGGGGCGCGAGAACATAGCTCCTTCTTTTCTAGGGAACGGCATAACTTGGTAGCGGCTGGTATGCATTTCCCAGCAAGTCGGTTGAGCCTGGAATGCGTAGTTGTCCAGTCGGCCATACTTGTCCAGGTCCTGACACACTTCCCACCACAAGCAGGAACACCTGCTAGCAGGATTTAACTCAGCAGCAGATATCAACATTGAACCGACCGGCGCTAGGTTATTTTCAGAATTGTGTGGCGTTGGAGTTGCATCGCTAATCTTATCGGTTGTATAACTTACAACCTAATTTTAAACCACGAAGGCGCAAGTCTTTCCATAACCCAAAACCTTCGATTCTCACTTCAACTGACTTAACTCCTAATGGAATAGCAACAAGCGCTAAATTCTCCGCAGTGGCTTGAGCAGCATAATTGGTTGACCGACGAGATCCTTTAAATCCCACCGGTTTCTGTTCATTTTGATTGAATATGGATTTGAACTTGGGTCTGTATTTCAAAAACAGTTCATTGGTGTACCAGCACCTGAGCTAAGCCTGCCGGTTTGTCAGAAGTTCTTTCTAAATGTATTGGGGAACTGTAAAAGTAGGAAGTACTAGAAACCATGGGGTGGCTCCGATGGGCACTCTGGGAGGAATCACAGGGAAAGGCAAGCTGGCAGTCAATCCTCCACCAAGTGGAGCAATCAATGCTGTCCAGAGATCCTTTAGCCAGACGGAAGGATGCGTGAGTGGGTATACGATGTAATACTGTTATTTTGACTTGCCGGCGGAATAGGAACCGGACTGACACTCCCCAGAATGGATACGGAGCCGGGACCATAAGGACCTGTCTTTCTTTAAAAAAAAAAAGAAAAAGAAAAAAGAAAAAAAAAAAAAAGAAAAAAAAAAAAGGTGTGTGCATCAGAATTCAAGGGGATTGGCAGGGGAGTCGGCGAGAAGCATCATTACTACTTTCAGCTTGGCTTCTAATAGATGAATGTGAGGGGAAAGGGCGATAATAACTGGAAAGAGGAATAAGCTGAAGAGAAAGGACTTGCATGTACTTCTTCTTCAAGGTGATGATGTGATAAGGGGAAAGCTCACAGTCAACAGGAAGAACAAAAAACAAGACAGTCTGGAGCTGAGAGAAATTGTCGATATCTATCCTACAGCTTATGGGTTTTGCTGACAGTTCGTTCACCACAGAAGATGGAGAAAGATAGTTGGACTGTTTTTTTGTAAGCATGTTTTGTTAAACCACCACTACCTTTCCCACTGTTGGGAAAACTGGAAAATAGCCTACTAGAAAATTAGGGGCTGGGCCCGACGTTCTCGATGGGAAAATAGCCTACTAGAAAATCGGCGGCTGGCCCCAATGACGGCTGCCATTGATAAATCTCATCGGCGGCTGTCATTTCGTTTCCGCCTCCTACAACACCTGGCGCCCACCCGAGCCCGACATGGGAAACGGTACTGGTGCTTTAAGGAAAGTGGGTTTGGCAGGGAAAGGGTGGTACCGAAAAAATGACTGGGCTTGTCTCACAGTCAATCCTATGCCCATGAAGCTATCAGCATTGTCACGGGTCCGTAGACCGTAACGTCAGGAAGTGTCAAGACTCAAGAGTGTATAAAATTGTAAATACTGTTTTTCTTTTGTTTTGACGTGCCGATGGAACAGTCACTGGATTGATGCTCCTCGGAATGGATAGGGGGGTGGGCCCGTAAGGACCCATTAAGGCGTAGTGCACCCAAGGGAGGCTAGGTAGTGGCAGGCTGGCAGCAAGTGCCCAGTCAAAGAAGGATTGGAGGCCAGGGAGGCAAAGGTACATCATTTGGAGTCCGGCACTCATGCTGCTGCTCTTTTGACAGAGCTCCAGGAGGTTCATAGTGGAGCTGGGCTAGAGCATTATTTCTGGGCAAGTTGATACTGGTGCTTGAGCACGGGAGAAGACTACCTCGCACCTGGAAGAGGAACAGAGATAGGCAAGGCAGCCATAGCTGAGAGGATGCTGCCTCCATAACTGAGGGAGTGAGAGTGATGACAGACGGTTGGAGGTGAGATCTGGCTTGGGGGGGAAATGCTTGCTTGCCTGGTGTCTTTTCTAGGAACAGTACAAAAGCCGACCCGCCCTCAGTTCAGGCACCCATTCTGCCTGGGTGAGTTGATGCTAGAGCTTGAGTGCTGGAGGAGACCACCTTGCACCACACAGAAATAGAGCAATAGCCAAGGCAGCCATAGCTGCGAGGACGAGGCCTGTAGATTAGGGGAAGCTCCTTCCCCATAGCTGTAGGGGGAGGAGAGAGAGAGAGTGCTGTCTCTTATACACATCTAGATGTGTATAAGAGACAGGTCTTATACGTATCTGACCGCATTTATGACCAGATGGGGGCGTATCTGACGGCAATCATGTCCATAAATAAGTCAAAAATTCCTAGCGTGAGTACGCCCTTTGTCATACTAGCACTGTCTTATACGTATCTGACCGCATTTATGACCAGATGGGGGCGTATTTGACCGCAATCATGTCCATAAATAAGTCAAAAAGTCCTAGCGTGAGTACGCCCTTTGAGATAATCCTTCAGGTTTACAAGACTGTGATTAGAGCAGCCGCCAGTCCGGATAACACTTGCAGAAGTCTGACCAACTCTGCATTGCGATGACAGACAGGAACACATATCACTTGCCGCAGTTGGGCCATCAGTGCCCATCACCATCGCCACGATGTGCTGACAAACTGGCCAGATAGCACTCGCAGCAGTCGAAGAATCTCTAGGCGATGACAGACTGACCAGGGATCACTTGCAGCAGGCTGACCATCTCTGCATTGGCATAGCATACTGGCCGGATATCTCTTGCAGCACCCTGGTCATCAACATTATGCATTGCCGTAACACACTGGCCAGATATCACTTGCAGCAGTCTGGCCATCGCCGTCTCTGCATTGCACAAACGAGAACGACGGTCCAGCTGAAATCTGGATAAAGTAGAAACAGAAAAAAGAAATCTGAATAAAGTCACTGTACCTTGGCTTCGGCTGGTTCGAGCGTTCAACCGCCAGTATATCTTTTTTTTTTTTTTTTTTTTTTTTGGGAACCGCTAGTATATCTATCGCCCAGGTACTTGCGAATAAAAACCGAGCCAATCCGACAATTTCGGGGGCTCGGGGTTACCTGACCGCAATGGCTGGCGGGCACTTAGCCAAAAGAGAAGAAAAAGTGCCGTGCGGGCAATCAAGCAAAGCTTGTCGTGCAGGGGGAAGGGGGAATCCGCCTCCGCGAAAAAGGCGCGGACGTACTGGTGCTTTAAAGTTTACGCCACCACTACCTTTCCTCCCAGGCAGTGTCGAGAATCGAAAATGTCACATTCCGGGTTCTTCGGACGAACAGTGGTCCTGGACCACAATGGCTGGTGTTACCTGACAAAAAAAAAAAAAGAAAAAAAAAAAATGCTGCGCTCGTGCTTCGGCTAAGCTTAGCTGGCAGTTTTTTTTCTGCCTCAGCAAAAAGAGGGCTTGGATGTACTGGTCCTTTAAAGGAAGGACAAGAAAGGAAAAAGGTGGGTTGATGGATGCCAACCGCAAAGATAGGGGCTCACTGCACAACTCACCCGGGGTGAGTTTTGGTGTGAGTATCACCGGCGCACTCACTCACCGCGCAGCTCTGACAACCTCCAGCCTGCAAACACATCACATGAAACGAGGGCGGGGTGAGAACTCACTCAGAAAGCCCTTTCTTCTGCAGCCTTGAAAATGGCTGGTCGTGGCGGTACCTCTTCGGCCGTCACCATGCGGGTGTGAGTGCATCCCGGCCAGTGGCATGCAGTCTGGACTGTGTGCTCACCCTTTGAAAGACGCATCTGGCCGCTTTGTGCGACCAAAAGGGGGTGAGTTCACACTTTGTTTATCACTCACCCCGTCGTGCAGGTCTGGACGCACCTGAGATGAAAGAGTTTCAGCGAGAGTGTATGCAGCCGCGAGGCCCTTAGGCGAATGAATACTCACCCCGCGGGGTGGGGTGGTGTACGTTGTGCCGCGAGGCTCACAGCCTAGCGACCACGGGCACAACCCTTCCAAGTCAACAGCCTAAATTTAGAAAAATGTCAGAGCGTACTGTACCGTATCATCTGCTTACCCTTGTAACAATTCCAGGTTAGCACACAAGTGTTCCACTGCCTTTATTTGGGGTCGGGCCTTTTGCTCCAGACTGCACAGCGTGCGCTGCCACAACTTGACCGCCGCCCGTCGATCTGATGACTGATGTTGCACAGTGCCATCCCAAGGAGTCATTTCCGCGTCGAACGACAGGATTTTCATCGGTGTGAAGAACTTCATCATCCCTTCCTTGAACCACATGTTGACATTGAACGACAACGAGATGCGGTGCTTTGGTGACCGATGGTACCAATCGTAGAAGTACTCATTCAGGAATCCTTCAGCATTGGGTCCTCGAGAGTTCGGCAAATAAGTTGCCTTCTGCAGTAGATCATGAAATAAGTCAGTAGAGGGTTGAATGACCATCACCCGCGACGAGAACTGGTCCGGTGGGAAGACGCAAGGCGTTGCCGCGAAGGGAAGATAGTCGAAAAGGGAATTCACATTATCCACAAAGAGTGACAATGGGTTCACATATACCACCTTCCACCATTCTGTAAGATTCCAGAGATGGAGAATAAGGAACTCCTCGCCAAGTTCGATCGTAGTGTTCGCTAGTCGTTCGCCGGTCGCTACAATCTCCTCCGTATTTGCACCTCCTTCCCCCTCTCTTATGGCTGCCGCTTTCCCCACATTCCGACTGCCCTGTGCTTTTCTCCCATCGTCCTGCTCTTTCGCCATCCCTGTTGCATGCATTTGAATCAAGTCAAGCGCACGCGTTTGACTCCGATCCTGTGTTTCAACCTTTAGTGGCGGGACGACCCTCACATAATTGAAAAATGGAATCAACGGCTGCCAAATATCTCGCCTCAACGTCGACGGCACGATGAGCATTATCCTTCGGAAAGTACTGAAGCTGTGGTGCTGTTTGTATGATGCTGCCCACACTCCTGCCGCCGTAATCGTTCTCTCTGTCACTAGGGTAACCAGCAACTCCTTGGAGGGAGTAAACCACATAGGAGGGGGTGGCTCGGCGGGCACATGCCTGGGCACAGCTGCTGACATCAAGGAATGGTCAGTAGAGGCTGAAAAGGAGGAAGACGAAGAGGAGGAATTGGAGGAGAGAGAAGAGGAAAACACAGGGGTAACCATGGGGTCGATCCTTGATAGCATTAGGCGGTGATAACTGGGGTACCGTTGCGGGTGAGGGACGAAGAGCACGGGGGAGAAGGTGTCAGGGTCAAGTGGAAGCCAGGAGTTCTGCTCCAGTGCCTCAGCCACCTGATGCCATGCAGCACACCACACATTTCCGGTCACATTGACTGTCGGTTTCCAAGGTTTGAACCATGGATTTGCAAAGTGCACGACACGGATGGGTGCTTCGCTACCACCTACCCCCTCCCTGCCCACCGTTCCTTTTCCTCCCTCGTCTCCTCTGCCGCCGCCTTCTGCCCGTTCCCGACCAAGATGCAAGTACTCTGCTGCATGATTGACGTCGTACCACCCCGGGGGGTGATAATGTTCTGGGAAGAATAGCACGGCGTTGAAACGGAAAGGTAGTCGGTGCTTGATGGACATCTCAAACCATCCATCGAAAAACCCATTTAAAAAGCCCTGATCACCTCTGTTATACGAGGGAATCTTGTGGATTGAGGTGACCAATGACAGGTAAGTGGCATTCGATGGTTCGATAACCATCAACCCACTGTTAAAGCGCGTGCCGAAATAGACATCTGGTGCGGCTGTTAGCTCTGGTCGACCGAAGAGCTCGTCTATGTTGTCCAAGACCAGGGTGTCCACATCAATATAAACCACCTTTGCGTACTCTGTCAACAACCATGCATTGATCTTGTTGAAGCCATCAACATCGTACGGGTTTTCGACACTCTTTATGGCTCGCACCTCGTCGTAATGCGCACGCAAGAGCTTCAGTAACTCCCTCTGCCTCTTCTCCTCTCTCGACAACTTCCGCCGTCTCCTTCCCGGACCCTTGATCTGAAGATCGCCACTTGAATCGACCATCAGCACGAGATGGTGAGGGGTTCCTGTGCTCCGCAAGGACTGTGCGAGAACAAGTGCGGCATGAACCAGCTCCACCGAACCAATCAATGTCGCATAGGCATAACGCTCTCGCTTGACAACGACATGCTCACCCACCACACGCCGAGCTTCAAGTTTTGTCATTGCCACCGTGTCACAGTTGATCAGGTATCCAAATTTACTACACATCGACGACTCGTCTACTTCTGCAATCGCCTTCGCAAAGCTGTACCGCAGTTTCATGCCACCCCACAGACGAGAAAACTCGGTGATACACTTGCCGCGATTGTCCTTGTGCGTGCCACGAGAGCTCAGGGCTCCCTCGCTCAGTTCTGTCTCTGAGTTGCGGGCATCCCCCCAATCTCGTGGACTGCCTGCGACCAACACCGGCCCCTTCTTGCTGGCACTGGACACAAGAAAGTTCATTGCTATGTCCTCGCAGTTAACCATTTTTTCAACATACTCTCTCACTCCCCGGGGGCTGGAACAAGTGTAATCGAACAGGTATTGCGTCGATAACAGCATAAGCTTGGTCAGCATGATGGAGTACCGATCGGGATGCTTGACATACTTCCAAGACTGCAGCTCAACATCATAAGCATGGGAACGCGGAAAGAATCCAACAATGCTATCTCGGTTATCTTGCCAGATCTTCAATGCGAGGTCCAAGGCTGCCTCCTCGATGGTGATATCATCATCACAGATCACAACCACAGCTGTGTCAATGAACGTTCGGGGAAGAAAGCGGGCGTTGAGGCTCGTTGACCGTTGGCGGATGACACGGATAGGAGCACCATCGCTAGGGAACATTTCTTCAGAGATTGACAAGGTCGGCGTGGAGGTGTTTCCCCAGAGGATATAAATAGCCCTCACGACTGCACTTTGGGAATACTTTCGCATGTTCTCGCGCAGAATAGGGATCCGAGTCTCGCTGAAACCGTTCACAAGAAGTGTCACTTGGTTGTCACGAAGCAGCTCGTTAGACCGGTACAGATTCCTATCACAGGCAACATTTTCCTCCTCTTTCTCCTCCTTTCCCTCATCCTCCTCCTCATTCGTAGTAACCAGTCCATGCTGCACACTCCAACCACGACCATGGCGAGAAGGCAAGCGATAATTCTTGTCATCGTTTCTTGCCAGGTGATCGGAAGCAAAGGAAATGCCACTCTCCCACGGCGAACTCAAACTGAAGATGATCAGCAGCAAGAGCCAGAGAACGACACATAACACCAGACATGCCCATGGAAACTTCAATGGACCCACTGGTGGATACGACTGGCGCCGCACATTGGTGCTTCGCCGGTAGCCAAACAGTGCCATAGCTGTCGTGCTCTCCGCAAATGCTGCGCAGCATCGGACCCCAAAATCTTAAAATAAACATTGAAGCACACAGCAGACTTGCTACCTTTTACAAAAGAGCCCCTCCCTCCCTTTAACCGCTTATTCTAATATATACATTCTAATGTTCTATTCTCCCATACCATAACCTTACATGGACAGATGGCCAAAACAATCTCTCTCTCTGTCTCTGTCTCTGTCTCTGTCTCTCTCTGTCTCTCTCTCTCTCTCTCTCTCTCTCTCTCTCTCTCTCTCTCTCTCTCTCTCTCTCCTGTCTCTTATACACATCT